TGTGGAAGGGACAGTCCTAAATGATAACTGACAGTCAACAAAGACAAGCAAACTTACTAAGATTTTGTGTTTTTCTTTGACAACATAATCACTAAGCATCAGAAATGCACCAAAAGTTAACTAGTACAGGTTTTATTGAAACATACAAATACTATACAAAACCTCCCTTTTTCAATCATTTCCTTGTTAGCTAATTTTCCCTGAAGAAAAAAACCTTGCAAGTCAGAAGATGAATTTATGAGTTTTAAAATATTTTCCTTATATTTGCCCATTGCTATTGTCTGTAAATTTTTTTGTAATCAATTAAATATCCACTTGTATGAGATTTTACTATTAGAAAACACCTAAATAACATATTCATTACCTAAAACACTAGAACATTAAAAACCAGGAAAAAATTACATGCCTCCAGGTTTTATTAATCACATTTCAACACCAGAAGCTGAAAGTATATCAAATCACTCCAAATCCTTTGCATATGACAGCCTCATAAATTATTCAAGTCATTAGTATTACTAAGAAGCATGAAACACTCCATCGGTGTTAAGGATGTTTTCCAATCTAAAAAGGTCAACCAAAAGTTTTAATAATGAAATCAAAAGAAAAACTTTACAAAGTAAATATGAAATAAAAGTACTGTCTTTATGTTTCCTTGAAAATATATCTAATTGTGATTATTTCCTCATTTAAAAGAAAGCATTGTTAATTATTTGTTTTGTGGCTCCAAGTAAACTGCCTGAAGAGAATATTAAGAAATCCAAATTATGACTAATTATATCTGTCCATTACATCAAAGTTCAATTAAATTTAATCTAAAATGTTTGACTGAATTTAAGAGAAAAAATCAAGTAATTAAAAATATTTTTACTAAAACATTGAGTCTGCTAATTCCATTTCAGTTATATTGCATGACTGTAGGCTCGCATTCCTGAAAAATAGTATACTACAAGGACAGACACACCTGACCTGAGTTACCACACCAGGGATTGCTTTGAGGAACCATGTAAATAATCCTTACTTAAGTAATTTAAGGTTATTCCCTCAGCTTGTACAACTTTAAAATTCTGAAAACTTTGATCAATATTGCAAATACTTCTAGCCATACTGAAAATTCCATTCATAAAATATTCTTTTGTTTCTAAAACATTTTTTGCAACAATGTAGATTAATAAAAAAAAAAACTTGACCAAAGATTACAACAGAATTTCTGTGCATTTAATGCTTAATTTCAAGATAGAATTTACAGGGAAACTAAAATGTTGTAATTATTTAATACAGAGGAAGAAATAAGCTATATTTCAATTTGTTCTTGAAGCTCTTCCAAAATTTGTAGATTTGTGCTATAATTATACCCTTTACCTATGTCTACACAAACCAAAACATTCAATCATTTGGATGTTAGTCTACACACCGCCAGATTTTAAGGTGCTTAAACACATTTACATGCTTAATGGCAGGCAGAAGGGCCAGATGATAGGTTGAGCTTTTTTTACTTTTATATGAATGTCCTGACAATATGTGAATACAAAAGCTTTTTCAAAATATATTAAAAAAATAAGTCTTCAATTAACTTTTTCAACATCTATTCTTTAAAAAATATGTTTTTATTGATTTTAGAGAGGAAGGGAGAGGGAGAGAGAGAGAAGCCCGGATGAGAGAGAAATATTGATCTGCTGCCTCCAGCATGCCACCTACTGGAGATTGAGCCTGCAACCTGGGCATGTGCCCTGACCAGGAATGGGACCAGCGACTTCTTTCTTGGTGTACAGGAAGACTCCCAATCGTTGAGCCACACCGTCCAGGACTCAACATCTATTTTTATTAGATGAAGTACTTCATAATAATTACTGACATTTCCTATTTCTTCTGAAGAAATACTTTGTACATAAGTTAGAAGGCACATTTAGAGTTTTTAAAAAGGTACAATACTACATTTTTCTCTTGACCATTTGTAATTCTTCCTTCTATTTCTATGTATAGATCACTTCAGGGAACACTTTCCAGTCACCCTCTTCACTTCCCTCCATATTTTGCTCCCAACTTTCTACTCACTTTCAGCAGTCTGCAGCTGTGAGTTGTGATGAAGGCTGAAGAGCCGTGTTCTAGGACTGTTTTTGGAGGTACAGTTGTTTCAGTTCTCTTTTGTCTTCCACTACAAGACCTTCACCCTGAGAATGACCAGGGTAACTCTGGCCTAAGTACGATGTCGATTTCTTGAATATTTTATAGCATGTATGTGGTCTTTGTTTTACACACGAATAAAATAAGAACATACTCTTCTTTACATTTATCAAAGAACCCAACACTCAAGAGAGAGAATAGGTTCTGATAACGCTGATGATGCATTATTTAAAATTCATAAACCACTACGCATTTAAAAATACATTTATACTACATACAGAGGATGTTTAGTATCACCTACATTTTTTATCTATTTCAAAATTAGAGTATTATTTTTTAAACTTAGGTTTATTAACTAGTTACTATGATACTAAAATATGCCTATCAGTCTTAAAAAGATTTTAAGGCAAAATATTTTAAAATTTGTTTTGGATAGGCTTTGATATTGGTTCAATAATAGAGATATTTTACTAATTAAACACACAAATTATTCACTTTTATTGAAAACCAAAATAAATATTTCCCTAACAGCTCCCCCTCCCCGCCCCCTTTTGAAGTCCTCACCCAAGGACATGCTTAGAGAGAAGAAAAGAGGGAATGAGAGTGAGACAGAGAGGGAAAGAAACACTGATATGATATCAGTTGCCTTCCCAAAGATCTCCAACTGGGGATCAAACCCACAACCCAGGTATGTGGCTTGACTGGGAATCGAACCGGCAACCTTTTTGGTACACAAGACAAAGCTCAAACAACTGAGTCACTCCAGCTGGGCTTTTTTTACCTAACAGTCCCTTTTTTGAAGCAATCCGTACAATACTGAATGTAGTAGTATCCTGTGAATCCTATATAATTAAAGCTTTGGCAAATCAGTATCACAAATATTACTTCTAGGGTAACCTTTACAGTAAATTGTCTATATATTTCTAATTCCAAATGCCATGAATTCAAGATAAATTGGTGAAAAATTTTAAATAGTTGTGCATATGAAGTTTTAATGATTTTAAGTTCATATAATAAAGCATGCCACTTTAAGTAGATAATTCTAAGAATCTCTTCTATAGAGCACAAAAGTAATACCTCATTTTAAGTTGGTACTAAATCCTTAGGTCTAAAATCCTTAGGTGATCTTTTGAGTTCATTAAAGAAATACCCTATAACACAGGTCAATTATAATTTTTTCTAGCATATTGTTTCCTGTAGTTACTTTTGCTATATAAAGTTACTATCTTAGGTATAATAGTTTCATATGAAATCCTCATGTATTTAATTATATGACTATCAGTCTCAAAAAGATTTTAAGGCAAAATATTCCCAGTCAAGCCACATACCTGGGTTGTGGGTTTAATTTTAATTTACTGTTGAAAATATTACAGATGTCCTCTTTTTCCCCCATTGACCCCTTCCACCTTGAACCCACTCCTCACCTCAGGCCTTCATCATACTTTAATTATATTTTGAGTCTTACTAAGTTATAGCAATTCACATACTATTTGAGCAACAAATTTTAAAGACTTTGCATATTTTTTTTTACTAGAATTAAATACTATCTCTATTCAATTTCAGTCCATCAAGAAAATGAATGTTATTGTTATAGGTTATAAACTATAGTAAATTTTAAAACAAATGGTTTACTTATTACTCTCAAGTGAATGAAAATTAATATAAAAACATCAGTAATTTTAAGAACAAAAGTAGTTAATTATAAATATATATAGATAGTATTCATCAATTTTTTTCCAAGTGTATATGGTTTATAAAATTCTGATATGATCAATCAAACTTAACTTGTTAAGAGCATTTAAAAATGTGTAAAAAGACAAAATACTCCTATGAATACTTATTGGTGGACAGCAATCAAAAGTAGCACCATTCTTTTTTTAATCTTAGAGAGAGAAACTGAAGGAGAAAGAGAGAGAAAGAAACATTGATGCGATAGAGAAACACTGATTGGATGTCTACCGCACTCACTTGGACCAGGGACGGAACCCACAACTGCATATGTGCCTTGACTGGGAATTGAACCCACCACCTTTTGGTGCATGGGACAAGGCTCCAACCAACTGAGCCACACCAGCCAAGGCAAAAGTAGCAGTATTTTTATTAAATAACAAAAAAAAAATTTGGTATTTATTATTTATTGTACTATTTATAAAGAACAATTTAGGGTACAGTTCTATTGTAATGTGATAGTTGATAATATCTTTAATATGGAATAATCTTTCTCAAACTTTATTTGCAACCCACTGGAGGACGGGTTAAAGAGCATATTTATAGCAGGATTTATTACATTTTTACTAAAAAGAATAGAATAGGATTAAAATAGAGCATGCCATGTAATGAGATTATTAAGAAGATATTTGTTTCATTTAAATACAAGTTTGTTCATATATAAAAAAGTATACATGTGTATACATATTTCATGTACGCATGTGTATTCACACAGTATACATATGCATGTGTATATACACACACAGGCATGCAAATATAGGTAAAATATATATGTCTGAGTACATGAGTACCAACAGTATATATATTTTTCACCTTAGGTCCTGGTCACCAAAGTTCAAAAGACACTGAAAAATAAGCTGATTATATTCTTGTTGTAGGCTGTATGAGAAGAATATTGGGTAATAACCAACTACGTAGAGTCTTTTAATGTCTTAGAAAGAAGTTGAAGGATATAAAGTACACCCAGAGGGGAAAATATTGACTGTATTCAGTGTAGCCTACATGATGCTAAAGGATAAAGCAGAGCATATTTCTGACTTATGACATGAGAATTTGAAATGCTAGTGAAAAAAATGACTTATCAAACAAGAAATATAATGGTATCACCTTACATCTATAAGTATTTTTGTGTAAGAGACATTGGCACTCACCATACTCTACTGTAGCTTTGAGCAATGCTTCAGCATGAGTGGAGCCAAATGCATTACGAACAAATCGTCTCCTTCGACGAAGATCATCTTCCCAGTAATCCAAACGCCAGAAATCATGTAATTGGCTAAGAATGGGAAATAAAGAAACAATAATCACTTACTAACAATGTAGAACTGGAAATACATTTTTTCTGTAAAATTAAATATTTCTTTGGTGTCACTGGAAAATTAAGGTAATTTTTGAAATATTTATATTTTACAATTGTTGTCTGTATATATATGTTTACAAATGAACAAAACTTAAAATAGTAACATTCTCTAATTTAGGCCTTATAACATGCAACTCTGCTTTCTTTTTAATGTTCTTCCTTTTATTAAAAAAAATCATGGGGAGCTAAGTAACAAATGTAGCATCAAATTACAAGTATTAATGGCGGTTTGCATTCTTTTACACTGCTTTTAACAAGGCTTGTAAATCACAGGATAGACCTCACTACTAATACTGTGTAATTTAATGATCTTGTTTTCTTAGTAGACTGAATTAAGAACTATAAAATATTGCTCACTTGGATTTGGTGGAACAATGATTAAAATAACATGCTGAAATATTCATTGAAATAATTCCCTGCTGCCCAGAGCAACCTGAGAAAAGTGCAATTTTATCCATTATTAATAATACTGAATTAGGGCTGCACAAATTCCAGTATATGGTAATTGTTTTGGTAAATTATTATTCTAATGCTAGCAGAGTCCTTGGACGATTTTAGAGCTTTCAGCTAATATAAAACTTTAACAATCATGGCTATCGTTGGGTAACATTGTCTAAACTGTGTTACATTCTAAACCAATATTAAAAATATGTTTGACATGCCAGAAACTACTGAATTATGTTCATTACATATGAATGGAACATTTCATGATATCTTTTTTTTCCAATTTAATTTCAATACAAATTGGTGATAAATGCCACTGCTTGAGAAGTCTGTTTTTTCTCTATATAGTATTTGGAGTAATTAACTTTTAAAAAATTTATTTTATTATTTTTATTTTTTTTAATTTAGGGAGAGATTAAGCAAAGAACTTATATGCATAAGTGCATAACCCATGGACATAGACAACTTAATGGGGAAGGCCTGGAGTAGTTAACTTCTGAAAAATATTTCAGATTTTATAGCTATATAATTTTGTTTTCTATAACTTAATTATAAAATATAATGTAAGGGATATAGAAAGGACATTAAAATTATAAGCACTTGCAGTATATTTTAATACACTTGATTTTCTAAACATCATTATAATTACTCAATTTTTGTCAAAATAATGATTACCTGATGAATAATTGTTACAAGCAGTATAATTCTGTTATTAATTTAAGATAGGATAATTTCTATCCTTATAAATACAGAGTTATCCTAGTGGTTTAAGGAAATCCATACTAAAATCTTGCTATAAAGAGTTTCCTTAAGTGTATATTAAAATTAAGCAACTTAAGTCACTAGGAGAGACTGGAAATCTAATGTTTTCTCGAATTCTAACCATAGACATACTTTTCTCTATTCCTTCCATTAAGTGCAACTGAAAAAATTTGGGCATTATATATAAAACATTGGACAACACTGGACATTATATATAAAACAAACATAACACGATTCTGGAAGATGGACAACAGAAGAAGACTGGCTAAGGACCTTGGGGCCTAAGAAACAACACAATGATGAGTTTCCTGGGCAATCTTTGACCTTGAGACAAAAAGGTCAGCAACCAATTAGCCAATGGGTTCAGACCAAAAAAAAGCCCCCAACAAAAGCCTCTTTCTCTAGCCAAAGGACCGGGAAAGGGGCAATCTAGGAAGACAGAAAATTTTTAGATGACAACTTATACACTTTTGCCAAACACCACAGATAAACTGTGACCCCAACCTACCCACACTAACAAAAGATGAACGGGAAGTCTAGATGTGAAACCTCATGAAGGTGTAATGAGATGCCCTAATACCCTTACTAGGGTGGTATCAGAGAAGGCCAAATATGGATCCAGGGCTTTCATTTCTGCTGGCTGGTAACAAGGTGCCCCACTCTCAAGCAGCCAGTGGAGACCATGTGGAGATCTTGGAATTCTACCCCCATTGAACAATTATGAGGATCCTTCCCTCTCCCCACTAACCAGCAACAATGGGGCCATCCCCACCAGTGGACAATAGGTGAGAAGCTAGAACTCCCACCCTGCCAGGCAGTAATGAGGAGCCGCCCACTCCGTGGATGTCAATGGAGAGGAAGTGGGAAACAGATTCCTACTTCTACTTGTCAGTGAAGAGGGAGTGACCCCTACTTCTCCTCATGGAGTAACATCAGAGTAAGCCAACTAAAACAGAAGGCTTAAATGAGATAAAACATACCTCAGAAAATGTCCTGGTTTCAGTCTCAAATTACTTATACAAAGAATGTGGAAGATCTCAAATAGAATATAAAAGAACATCAATAGATGCCAATGGTGAGATGATGGGAATGTTAGAATTTTCTGACAAGAATTTCAAATTAGCCCATGATAAAAATGTTTCACAAGCAATTACGAATCTGTTTGAAACAATTTTTAAAAAATAGAAATATAGCAAAAAAATCCAAAAGTTTTTGCAAAAAAAAAAAAGATGTAAAAATAGTACTAAATGGAAATGTTACAAATGACACATACAATAACCAAAATAGAAAGCTCAGGAGGTGGAGTCAACAGGAGAATGAAAGGGACCAAAAAAGAATTAGTTAACTGAAAAACAGAACAATAGAAATTATCCTGTCTGAACAACAGAGAGAAAACAGACTAAAAAAAAAAAATTAAAAAAAAATGAACGGATCATCATGGATATAAATGGATTATAACACATAACATTTGGGTCACTGGAGTCCTGGAAAGAGATAAGAACGAGAGCAGCACTAAAATAGTACCTGAAGAAATGATGGCTGAGTACTTCCCTAATTTTTCAAAAACAAACAAACAAACAAACAAACAAACAACCCCCCCCCCCAAAACATACAGGTGCAGATTTAAGAATTTGACCATTCCAAACATAAGAAACTCAAAAAAATTCATGCCAATGCACATTATAATTAAACTTCTGAAAACTAAGAACAAAGGAAAATCTTAAAAAACAGTAAAAGAAAAATGACATTTCACTTATAGAAGTAAAACAATTAGAATGACAGCATATTTCACATTAAAAGCTATAGTGGCCAGAGGAAGTGACAAAATATTTATTATGTGCTGAAAGAAAAGAATTGTCAACCCAGAATAATACAACCAGTAAAAGCACCCTTCAGAAAGAAAGGAGAAATGAAGATACTTTCAGATAAAGAAAAACAAAGTATTTGGTACCATCAGAGCTAAACTAAAAGAATGGCTAACAGCAGTCCTGTAAACATGAAGCAATAAAAGAAACATTGAAACACCAGGCAGAAGAAAGAACACAATAAGCAAAATATGAGTAAATATAATAAGCTTTCATTTTCCTCCTGAGTTTTCTCAATTATGTTTTACTGTAGAAGCAAAATGTATGACACTGATGGTCTAAGTGTATTTCAGAGTGAAAGGGGGTGGAGCAGTGGGGAGAGATTAATCAAAGAACTTATATGCATATATGCATAGCCCATGGACAGACAATAGTGCTGGGAAGGCCTGGGGAGGGGGTAGGAATGGGGTAGAGGGGTTCAATGGGGGAAAAAGGAGACATTTGTAATACTTTCCACAATAAAGATAAACTAAAAACCAAAAGAAAACCATAAGACAATGATGAAAGAAACTGAAGAAGATATAAATAAATGGAAAGATATTCCGTGCTCATTGATTGGAAGAATTGATATTGTTAAAATGTCCATACTACCTCAAGCAATCTACAGATTCAATGCAATCTCTATTAAAATTCCAGTGGCACTTTTGCAGAAATAGGATAAACAATCCTAACATATGATGGAACCACAAAAGACTCAAATAGCCAAAGCAATCTTGAAAAAGATCAAAGCTGGGGATATCATATTGCCTAATTTCAAACTGTATCACAAAGCTATAATAATCAAAAGAGTACAGTACTAGCATAAACACAGACCCACATAGATTGACACCATAAGCATAGTCAACAAAAGCAAAAATAAACAAGTGGGACTACATGAAACGAAACGGTTTCTGCACAGCAAAGGAAGCCATCAACAAAATGAACAGGCTTAATGGGAGAAAATTTTGCAAATAATATATCTGATAAGAGGATAACATTAAAAAATATAATAAAAACTCATAAAATTTTCTCTGGCCAGTGTGGCTCAGTTGGTTAGAGAGTCATCCCATACCCCAAAAGGTCGTGGGTTCGATTTCCAGTCAGGGCACATACCCTGGTTGTGGGTTTGGTCCCCGGTTGGGGTGCTTACAAGAGGCAACCTATTGATGTTTCTCTCTCACATTGATGTTTCTCCTCTCTCTCTCTCTCCCCCCCTTCTTCTTTCTAAATTAAAAAAAAAACATTCTCTGGTGAGGATTAATAAAAACCACACTCATAAAACTCAACAGCAAAACAAACAAGTGAACAAACAAAAAATCTCAAACAGCCTGATTAACAGACTATCTAACAAATCATGTATAGATCACCAACATGTACATGGAAAGGTGCTCAACATCACTAATAACAGAAAAATGCAAATCAAAACCACAACGAGATATCACTTCACACAAATATAAAGGTTATTATAAAAAAAAACAATAAATAACAAGTGTTGATGACCATGTGAAGAAAAAGGAACCATTGTGCATTGTTGGTGGGAATGTAAATTGGTACAGTCATGATGGAAAACAGCACAAAGGGTCCTCAAGAAGAAAAATAGAACTACAATATGATCCAGCAATTGCACTTCTGGGTATTTATCCGAAGAAAATGAAAACACTAACTCAAAAAGATATATGTACCCCTATGTTCAGCATCATACACACACACACACACACACACATATATACATATATATATATACACACACATACATATAGCCTTTAAAAATCTATATACACATACATACACACACAATGGAATATTATTCAGATACACAAGAAAAGGAAATCACATTACAATATTAAGACAAAACAAAATGAACAA